ATATCCGTACCCGCTACACAAACAACAAGCGATAGACGAAATGGTAAGCGACATGGAATCACAAGGGCTCATAGAAGCCAGCACCTCCCCTTGGTCAGCACCAATCGTGCTGGCCAAGAAAAATGACGGCTCATATCGCTTATGTGTCGACTATATGCGACTTAACGATGTGACCGTATCCGACGCGTATCCCATGCCTAATTTAAACGAAATGATTAGAAGCATGAGGGGGGCGAAGACCCGATGGCCAAGCGCCAACCAAGACAGCCGTGGGAAGTAATCAGTATCGACCTGATGGGACCGTACCCTAGAACACCAAGGGGCAAGACGAACCTATTAGTGGTAACTGACTGCTTCAGCAGGTGGACCGAAGCGTACCCCATAGGCGCGCTTACAACGAAAACGATTGTAGACGTGTTAGAAAGAGAGTTTTTTTCACGCTACGGTTACGCGCGAGTAATTCTAAGCGACAACGGCCGAGCGCTCGTGTCCAAAGAAATGATCGACGCGATAAATCGGTGGGGGCAGATATTTGGACTACACCGATATACCACCCACAGGCTAATGCAGTAGAACGCAAAAACCAAGAGTTAGAAAAAAGGACTTTGCGCTTTATTAACTGAGTCGAGTCATACGTCTTGGGATACAAAACTACCACCTTTGTTGTTTGCTCTACGCAATAGGCGCAACGAGACTACCGGATACACACCGTCCGTACTCGTATTAGGTAGAGAAGGTAAGAAACCGGGTGACTGGCTACTACAGCGAGTACAACCGGTAGANTACTACAGCAAGTACAACCGGTTGACTAACCGGAAAACTACTACTATCAATAACGACCGGTTAGAGCGCGAACAACAAATCACCAGCACAAAAATAACACCGCCGCCTGGTCACATCAAAACAAAATACGCGGTCGGCGACGTTGTTTACTATAAAGCGCATCACTTATCGAACGTGAACAGACAATTTTGTCAACGACAGACGTCGTTCAACATCTCCAGGAGGCCGTCGGGCGTTTATGTGGACGGTGTACTGGTGGTCCCAACACCAGCCACCACCAATGGAACCGGAGACCCCAATGGAGCTGGAGAACGACGGCCTGGTACGGGAGATGGACCTGTTCCTCTCCTGTCCCACCTCCCCAGCACAGCCAGAACCCCCCACATCATAAGCGCGATATGCGCGTGACTGGGAATCTAGTCACCCAACCCTCCACTGCTGCGCGCACTCCGCAGAGCATTACCACCCAACCCAACAAACATACAACGTAAGTATTGCGGCTTGTTATTGCGTTATGCGCCTTTCATATATTTGACCAAACACGGAACGCTATTTAAGTTGGCCTTTAAAGTACAGTGGTGAATTGGTGGTGGGGGGGGGGTATTTGACACGGCCACGGCGTTGTCACACGTTTGACACCCCGCGGTCATGTCAGCTCCTTCTCAGCAACCGCATTACTGTAAACCGGACCGTTACACACACGCGTTATCGTCATGGTCTAAGTCCAATAAATGCCTAGTGTCGAATATGCGCCGTAATAATACGTCGAGTCAGTTATCTCCGTGTCGCCTCTATGTCCATTCCTCTTATTCGGTTTTTTTGTTTTGGTCTCGATACTTTCACTACGAATACACATATCATTTTTAAGAGTTTTCTTTTAAATCATCTTATTACTGTGAACCATACAACTGAGTTCTATCATTTTCGATAATTTGTTTTTTTTTTGGTTTTCTTCTTTTGTTGTAACTTATACAATAAACTACGGCTCACGCCAATTAGTACTTAGAAACCTTGTGTCGTCTAAATTCTTTAACAACAACCTCTATCAAAAATTAAAAATATAAAAAAAGAATTTTTTTACAAAAATTGTATTTTTATATTAACTTTGATGTTCGTTTTCACCATAAAAACAAAATAAAGTTCGAGACTTTTTTTTTTTCCAATAAAGAGTATACTAAATTAATTTAAATTTAAGATATATATAAAAATTCTACTTTCTATATGCATTTTAAAGTTTTGAACCCCCCCAATATTAAGGGAAATGTTCCGATTTAAAAAAGTATGTAAAAAAAAAAAGGTATTTAAGTATTATTTCTCATAAAAGTATTGTATTGATCCAAACATTTACATTTCAAGTTCTGTACCAAAAAGTAATTAATACTAGAGCGGCTAATTAATATATAGTGTATATAACGATAATACAGAGATGTACTACTTATTTATTCGATATTTGTATAACAAGCTTATTAAATAGATATAAATAAATAAATGTATGATTTGGAAACATTAAATATTATCTTAAGAATTGGTTATACAAAATTTCAAGTTCTATACTAAAAATTCATAACGCTTTTTTTGTCAGTCAGAAAATTATCTCGATTATCTTATTATATATTATATTATAGTCATTTAAAAAATAATGGCCAAAAATTGGAAAACTTCTTGAGACACCTGGACAAAATTTTCGCTATGGCTTAACAAAAAGGGAAACTAAAAGGATTTATCTTCATAATTGGCAATGATTAATAAGTAATTTAGGTGAAAACACAAAAAAATGTTAAAATTATAACTTTATATTTATATTTATATTGTATACTTTCTTAATCTAGAGTAAAAATATAATTTTTTTGTTTTTCAGTGGTTATTAAATTTAGATTTAATTTAACATAAGTTAGAATAACATCACAATATATTATAATTTTTTTTTTATTTTTTTACAATTATTTTAAGAAAAAGGTGCCAAATTTTTTACCGTGTTTATTTAAGAGTTGATTTGTTACAATTTATAAACTAAAAAATGCTCGTTATACATTTTATTAAATAAAAGAGTACATAATTAATGTATTGAGTTTCCTTTCAATAGTGTATCCGCAACTAATATTCAAAACGATAAATAAAATCAATTTAATATCTATTTGAACATGAACATAGCAGCCAAGGTAGGATTAATTTTTTTATTGAATATTGTACTCCTTAAATATGGAAACAATGCGGATGTTCTTGAAATTCCAAGAGATATTGTGGAACCAATCCAAAATATTTTAGAAATATTTGAAAATTGGATAGAAGAAAACAAAAGAACAGAAATCAATGACATGTTCATAGTGTATTTTAAAGAACTCGGTAAGCGAATCGCACAAATATTAAGTTTGCCATCCAATAACAATATTTGGTGGTTATGGGAGCTTAGTATACTTTCAAATTCAATTGATGTATTTAATCAGCCTCTAGGAAAATTGGAAGAAAATGATACAGATTTAAGAATTTCTAATAAAACATATAGAATTACTGTAGCGATCAGATTAATTAAAGACCAAATAAAAAATTACCCCAAAAAAGATGAAAAGAAAAAAAATTTATTAGGATTTTTGTCTTGTACTAAAACAGATGATAATAAACAGCCAATTCAAACGATTGATGACATTGGCTCAAAATTGGAAAGCCTTGATGAGGCTATTCAAGGAGAATTCGGGAAAATAGAAGAAGATAAAGTCCATTTTTATACACCACAAAATCTATTTTTCTTTGATATAATTTTGAATGAAGATTCTATACGGATACTTTTTACAAATTGTTTAGCTATTAAATGGAAGAAATACCAAGAAAATTTAAAACAATTTTATTTTAGCGCTATGAGAGTGTGGGTTGATATAAAGGAAAAGTATTTAGAACTAATTACTTACAAAGAATTTTTATTTGATGCTGTAAAAATATCATTTTATGCTCGTATAAAACGTCTCATGTCAATCTATCATGGTTATGCGTCTAATAATGATAAGCAGAATATTAAATATTGGGATGATCTGTGGATATCAACCACAAAATTAGTAAAAGATTTTATTGATTTTTTTCATTTTGATGATGATAAAAATTTAATTGAAATTTATAAAAATTTTAGTAAGCCAGAATTACTTGTAAATACAACCAAGGAAATTAAAATTTTCTCTTTATCATATTATCAGTTATCCAATAAAACTAATATGTATGATGCACATTTTCCGAGTTTACAAAATTTTGTTAAGAGAGACAAAAATAGTACTTCGCACATGAAAGGTTTAGAAGACGTAGTAAATGACAGTTTTGTTGAACTAGAAACTTATTTAAATAATATAAAAAATGTATTTGAAAAAATTGACCTAAATATCGCTAAGGTATTCTACAATACTATTCCAAAAATAAGTCACATTTGTTAGAGTGACAATTTTAAAATATATAATAATCATCATCTTTAGAATAATCTTGAAATAGTTTTTATTATATATTTAATCATATCATTTGATTTTTGTATTATATAAACTCTATAATTCATTTCAACTGTATTGTTATATAAATTATTTTATATTTCATAAAACATTAAATAAAAATTATTTTTTAATTTGTGTTTTTCTATAACATTTATAAGATGGTCTTCAATACAATTTAATACAATAGTTTTAAAATATTATTATAATATCAAAAAATAATAAAAGAGACTAAATTTATTATCATATTATTATTGATTTATTATTTATTATTCATACCGATATTTATTATTCATATGCGCATACTTTAATAACTTATGGCAATACTCTAATGTTTAATTGTAATCACTCACTACTTTTAATTTGATGGTTTGAAATTGTCGTAACACAAAACGAATTCCTAAACAGATTCCATATGGAAAGGATAGTAAAGTACTGTGCCAGACACAAATTCTTTAGATATTAGAAGAGGATAATGAAGTACGAGGTGCTGCCAAAGTGCAAGACACAAGTACTCTGAAATGTCATGAAGGAGAGTAGGTAGTTGAAAAAGGAAAAACAAAGACTTGACTTTATGCTGTAAGCCGGACAGCGACAACCGAATACTGAGACTGATGATTGACACAAAGCACTGAAATCGACTGACCATGATGGTCATTTTCTTGATAACTATCATAAAATTTTTTTATTAAAACAGCTTATTCTATTTTAAATCCAAATTATTAAACAATTTTGAAACTACAATAATATGTAGTTAAACAATTACGCTTTAAATAAAAATACACTTAAATGTAAAATATTATTTTAGTATGATGATTTGATAGAATAAACAATATATTCTATTTTAAATATTTTTATTCGATAAACAATTCCCAGTAGACACTTTATGTATATTCAACGAAAATATTTAGGTGAATTTTGGTGTATTTCGTATCCGTAGCGATTTTACTTAAAATATATTTAGGAAAATAATTCGCGAAGATAAGAAAATTTTTACTAGCGCACCGTGAGCGTTTAACATTTTTTGTCGATACCGCTTATTGTCGTCAGCCTTTTTCGATTTAAAATCTGAAATTTTTACCAGGACAGTATAGGAATATTAGTATTTTTATATTATTATTATTTTAATTATTATATCATTTACAAGTAATACTATTTTTCAGGGGAAACCGCTTCTGGAGAATACTTTTTTTGCACCACACATTTCATGGCCGGCGAAACCGGATACTCTAACCGAAATCAGTCAGAATTGTCCGAAGAGTACAAAGAGCTGCAAGATCGTGAGGTCTACTGGTCACCGGATGTGCCTAACTAGGTGCCGAAGCTAAGCACACAAATATAATTGATAGATTTTTTGTTTAAATAATTCTTATAAAAATAGAAATGAAATTAACGTATATTTTGCATACATTTTTCGTTTTCTGACATATGTTTTAGATTTCAAGTTTAAATAAAGAACACTTACAATGAATGTCGAAAACGGGATTTCGAGAATATTTATAGACCTTGCCACAATCCCGTTAATTTAGTAACATTTTGTAATAATTAGTTGTACTTCTTTGAATTCTAAAAAAGTGTAATACTAATTTTATAACCTACCCATATAAAATTTTTACCTTAAGATAATTCTCGTGCTTAATTAAGCACTAGCGTATTGTGTTTACTGTGACATACGTCAATGTTTCAGTAACTCATTCATATATTTTTGATTTACGATTGGTTTGGTGAAAAATACACGTTTTTTGTATAAAATAAGATTAGTCAAATCAAAAAATGCCCTTAAAATATATACATATATACTGTGGCATATTTACAAATTTTATAATGGGGGAGAGTACAAAAAATGTTTATGAATAAGGTACCATAAAACGACTTTTTTTTTTTCGTAACTTTTGTTAACATATTAAACACATATATTAGATTTTTTTAATAAAAATCTGTTATTTGTTTTGATATCATTTTTATTAATATTTCTTTGTAAATCAGTATGTATCTCTATGCAATAAACGCTTTAAATAGGTGATAGCCAGGGTTCTTAAGGTCATGCACTAAAAACAAAACAAAAAACATGCAATTATGCACTGAAAACATGGGCGTAAAGTGATCAAATTTTAGAGATTTAATTTCTCCCTCCAAAAATAGTTTTTATATAACAATACATATAATTTCATTAAGTTTTTGGTTGGCTAATTTGTAAATTTGGGAAGGGACTTAACTCCCTAGCATTCTACTTCCGATGCCTATACAAAAATCTAAAAAAAGCATATTTGAAAAGAGCAAGAAATATTTAAAATTTATAATTTTTTTTATAAACTAAAACTTTTTAGTAAAAAAATTATAAACAAGTTATTAACACAATTTGAAATGTTTTAGTAATCTTCAAAAATTAATTTTTATTCTGATTTCAATCGTAATAATATGATTTTTAAAATGTAAATAATCAAGTTATGAAACATTGATTACCAACTTAACTATGATTTTTTTAAAACATTAACCATGAAAATTACATTGTACTATCGGTGTTTTTTTTACGTTTTATAACTTAAAAGATCGACGATTTCTGACAAATAAGTTTTCTATCTTTGAAAATGATCTTTCTACGCGTGACGATTTTTGTGTAAAAAATTGAAGAATACCAGCAGACTTTCTCATGTACAGCGCGGCATCAGTTACAAACATCAAGACATTTTCGAATTGTATTCCGTTGGGCCATAATAACAATAACGATTTGTTAAATATTTTATAAATAGTACTGTGATTCGCTTTATCGAGTTCTTCGATATTTAACAAAAATATTTCGACGGGCGAATCTTGCAAGTGTTTCAATTATTGTACTTACTATCTTACTCAAAATCTGTTGTCTTGTCTGTAGATATCCATATTTTGTTACCGATCACTTTTTTCCTGATCTCGTTCATTGTTTCGTTGTAGCATTGGTCAACATATCCTAAACGCAATGCAAATTCAACAGGGGTATTTTTCCGGTATACTTCTCGAGGAAACTTCTAAATTGTGTGTTGGATAGTTTGTTCAGAGCAATATTAGCGGCTACATAAATCGATGTATTAATTTTTTTTTTGACATGATTGGTGCGAGCAGCTGAATTTTTTTATTATTTTCATTTTTTTGAAAACGTCGTACTAGGCCTATGATGTTTGTCTAAAGCGATGTGTTGAGTTACACCGAAACGTTTTTCACTTGATACTTTTATTTCACAAGCTTTACGAATTAGCACTTTATTGTGGGTTGAAAATATATCTTTGCCAAATTCCGAAACAAAATTTTGCAAACGAACTGGGCTTGTTAGTTTTTCTTTTGGCATACTAGTACTTATAATTGAAACTCAAAACACTAACTGAAAACAACAAACAAATGGACACGATTCACCGCAAAATAATTAACAAATAACAATATAACGACGCTGGAAATACGATTTTAGTTTACAGGCTGATCAGAAGAATTGTATCTCTATATATGTATCTATATGTATTGTTGGGATGAAAATAAATTTTTAGATGGCCATACACATATTTGATTCAGCGGAGGGGATGGTGATTGTGCGATAATATTAATTCCATTTGTAGTGACCATGGAATGATCGAGAATCTTCGCGGCGGATAGGCAACACAAAATGCATATAGCGTGAATGTTCTCGATCACTCCATCAGAGATCTTCTAGAACTCAACACAATATAAAACGGCGCGACGTAACAATATCGTCAATCAGTTGGTTAGCCAGTCGTCAGTTAATCGGTCAAGTAGTTAAGTACATATAGTGCATTAATATAATTTTCTTAGTGTTTAAACAATAAACCGTCTACAATTTTTCTGTTATATAAATTAGTGGTTTTATTTATTTTAAAATAATAAATGAAGCACTAAACCAGTGAACTGCTTAAAACTTATAAAACCCAATCAATATCATAAACAAATAAAGATAAACTCCAAAAATACTAAGAACATGTAAACATATTCGGAAAAAACTAAAAGAAATGATTTATTTTTTTACCTTTATTTGAAATAAGATTTCCCTGAATTTACAAGAATATGCACTAATATTTCCAAAAAACCAATTATATGCCCTAACACTCAAAAAATGCACAAGAAAGCTTCCTTTTTAATTAATATTGTTATGAAATGGATTTGTAGGCTCTCTAATCATGTTTTCCTAAGAAGCAAAAAAAAATTGCAAGTGCATGAACTTACGAGCCCTAATGATCACCATTGAACATTAAAGCATTGTCATAAATCAATAAATTGTGCACATAAATATGGATAGTAAAATTAGGCTCTTTTAATATTTTTGGTATTTGAATATTTTTTCAAACCTTAAATGGTATTTTATAAATTTTATAGGAAAACACAAATTAAAAAATATTTTATAGTTAATTTTTATTTAATGATTTATTATATAAAATAATGTAATTTATGTAAAAATACAGTTGAAATTAATTTTAGAGTTTATATAATACAAAAATAAAATAAAATTATTGAATATAATAAAAATTATTTCAAGGTTATATTAAAAATGATGATTACTAATATTTCAAAATTACCACTATACAAATGTGACTTTATTGGGAATTGTATTGTAAAATACCTCAGCAATTTTTAAGTCAAATTTTTCAAATACATTTTTTATATTATTCAAATGAATTTTTAGTTCACTAAAACTTGTATTTAGCGATATTAGTAAATCATTCATTTCTAACTTAAAAAAACTATTTAAATTTGGAAAATGTGCAAAATACAAATCAGTTTTTTTGGATAAATGACCATTTGATAAGTCGTAAATGTTTCTTTCTTTGGTTTCAATTGAAAATAAATTAGAGCCACTAAAATAGTTATAAATTTCAATTAAATTTTTATCATCATCAAAATGAAAAAATTTTATAAAATCTTTTACTAATTGTGTGGTTAATCTCCACAGATCATCCCAATATTTAATATTCTGCTTATCATTTTTAGTCGCATAACCAATATAGATTGTCATGAGATGTTTTATACGAGCATAAAATGATATTTTTACAGCATAAAATAAATATTCTCTATAGGTAATTAGTTCTAAATACGTTTCTTTTTCATCAACCAACACACTCATAGCGCGAAAGTATAATTGTTTTAAATCTTTTTTGTAATTCTTCCATTTAAAAGGTAAACAATTTGTAAAAAGTGTCTGTATAGAATCTTCATTCAAAATGATATCAAAGAAAAATAGATTTTGTGGTGTATAAAAATGGACTTTATCTTCTTCTATTTCTCCGAATTTTCCTTGAATAGCCTCATCGAGGCTTTCCAATTTTGAGCCAATGTCATCAATCGATTTAACTGGCTGTTTTTTATCATCTGTTATAGTACATGACAAAAATTCTAATAACCCTTTTTTCTTTTTATCTTTTTTGAGGTAATTTTTTATTTGGTCTTTAATTAATCTGATCGCTACAATAATTCTATATGTTTTATTAGAAATTCTTAAATCTGTATCATTTTCTTCCAATTTTCCTAGAGGCTGATTAAATATATAAATTGAATTTGAAAGTATACTAAGCTCCCATAACCACCAAATATTGTTATTGGATGGCAAACTTAATATTTGTGCGATTCGCTTACCGAGTTCTTTAAAATACACTATGAAAATGTCATTGATTTCTGTTCTTTTGTTTTCTTCTATCCAATTTTCAAATATTTCTAAAATATTTTGGATTGGTTCCACAATATTTCTTGGAATTTCAAGAACATCCGCATTGATTCCATATTTAAAGAGTATAATATTAAATAAAAAAAATAATCCTACCTTGGCTGCTATGTTCATGGTCAAATAGATATAACAAATTAAATTGATTTTTTTTTATCGTTTTGAAATTAATTGCCAGATACACTGTTGAAAGAAAACTCAATACATTAATTATGTACTCTTTTATTTAATAAAATGTATAACGAGCATTTTTTAGTTTATAAATTGTAACAAATCAACTCTTAAATAAACACGGTAAAAAATTTGGCACTTTTTTCTTAAAATAATTGTAAAAAAATAAAAAAAAAATTATAATATATTGTGATGTTATTTTAACTTATGTTAAATTAAATTTAAATTTAATAACCACTGAAAAACAAAAAATTTATAGTTTTACTTTAGATTTAAAGTAATCAAAGTTGTTAAGCCATGGAAACGTGATTCATTCTCACGATTATTATTTGTTTAATAACGAACTCAAAATTTATGTTTTTTTAACTAGTGGATTGTATTAAAATGATATATGTATGTAAGTTAAACAGAATTTGGTTATTTATTAGAAAAAAAAACATTGGCCGGTCTCTTAATACTATTTAATATTATCAAATTTCTTTGATAAGCCGCGCCCGTACACACCGTCTACCTTGAAATAGCATTTCAACAATGCTCAATAAAATTAAATACAACAACGATAAATATAAAAATGACTTAAATATAAGAAATGTGTTACAACTAGATAATGACAATCATTACAAATATATTACCTGTGAGATGACAACATGGTTTAAGT